ATTAAATACACATTACAAACCCTAATCATCTTTATAAACACTTCATTCCCTCTCTACCCAAGACACTGTCGTATGTATGTGTATGTGTCTCTCTCTACATCAATGATTCTGCCGGCTACAAACTCCGGCGATGGACCAATCCAGCCTCATCGCGATGTGAAGATGTGGTTGGTGTAGATCCCTCGCCCGGCGGCTGAAGCGATCTGGCAGCAATGTGAAGAAGCGGCTCGATTCGTTGCGATGTGAAGCAGCGGAGGTGCTACGGGGTTGATTGCGCGGCGGTGGTGAATTTGGAAGGGCAGCGATGTGAAGCACTAGTTTGTAACTGCTTCGATTCTGTGGAGTGGGACAATGCAATGGTTTCGTTGGGGGTGGTGGCGGTATAGTGTGGATTGTGGTGGTAATAGAGTACTGCTGTACTGGGTTGTTGTAGGTGTGACGGTGATGTGATGGTTGGGTGAGTGGTGATGAGCGGTGGTGGTGGAGGCGTGTGGTTCTGTGGTGGGGATGGTGGTTGTGTGGATTTGGAGGAATGGTTTTGTGGGAACAATTTTGTGGTGGATTTGTGTGGTTGTGTGGTGGATTTGCCGTGATGGCGAGATGGTAGTGGTGATGGTTGTGGTGCTGCGACAGTGATAGTGGTGTTGGTGTGGTTGTGGTTGTGGTTGTGGTTGTGGCGGTGGTGGTGATGGTGGTGCTGTAGAGGTAACGGAGGTTTGGTGGTGGTCACAGATTATTTGATTGATTGTGACTATTAAATTGATTAATCCGTGACTAATAAATAATATGTGACCACCAAAAAGATAAATTGTGACCAAGAATAGTGCGTGACCTAAAAAATAATAATTCGTGAGCTATAATAGTTATGATGTGTGACTTGTAAATAACTTGTCACGTATAAATTTTTTATCTATGACAAACAAATCGTGACTTACAAAATTTTTGAATTGTGACCGTAAACAGAATTTGTGACCTTAAATTTTTTGATTTGTGATCAAAAAGTAAGTTGTGACCAATAATTTGATAAATTGTAACTAAAAATTAATTCGTGACTAATTAATTTTTTTTATTTGTGATCGATGAACAAACTATGACTTACAAATTTTTTGAATTGTGATTGTAAAAATAATTTGTGACATAAAATTTTTTATTTGTGACAAAAAAATAATAAGTGATTAATTAAATTGTTAATTTGTGACCAAATTTTATAGATATATGACTTAAATATATTTAATTTATAAAATAATTAATTAATTAATTTAATAATAAATAAATTTTAATAAAAATCTGATTTTTGAAATTTGAAACTTATTTTCTTAATTTTGAAATATGTCATACTTAATCTTTCACTTATGAAATTTTCATTTCACCGCTTAGCATTATGGTCCAATACATTTTTTGACACAGCAGGATTAGCCCAATGAGCCCAATAATAGAGGCCATATGGGCCTCAACCCAATTCTATCATGACAGAAACGATAACCAGTCAGATATTATTTACAATTGTGCTACATATACATAATTATTTATATAATGATTTACATACATATGATATGATGATATATAATTGGTTAAAATTTCTTCAAAAAAGGGGAAAAAATATACACTATACATTCTCTTTTTTGACATTTTATATATAAATCATTATATAATTTCATTATGTACAAATATCATTCATATCATTATTCTATATACACAAAATTAGCGGCTTGTATTTTTTCCCAGAATCAATGAAACCAGATCGAAATCAAATAAAATCAGTCGTTTGGCTCCAGTTCCTTTACTAAATGGGTCGATTTTGGGATTATATATCAAGAACCGATTAGATTCGGTCTAGTACTCGATATTACCTTGAGAACCAACAGTGAATTCAGTTCTCCTAAATTCCTTTTTTTGCTTGCACCAAGATGAACTACATCTTTAAACACTAGACCCAAAATTATTATTTCACGTTAAAATTTCATTTTTCATGCTTTTCTTCTTCCTTCCTTTAATAGGTAATCAAAATTCAAGTTTAGATAATTTTATAAATATTTTACAAAATCATAGTTTTAATACAATACAATAGGAAAACTATATTTTCATTTCAATATTATTATAGGAATTCAAATTTCTTGTTATCTTTAAAGTGGTCGACAGTCTAGAATCATGATCCTAGAGAATTATTAAAGATAATCAAGTTATTGTTATAAAAAAAATTAAGAATTAATTTTCAATCATGATTTTACTGTTTATGTCGTATTTAATAGTTTATCATTTTTTCGCCTTTAGAAGTTGATCTTGAGTTTTAGTGTGAATTTTTGTTTGTTGCCTTGTTTGATGAATTTTTTTTTTTTTTATGTTCCGTTAGATTATTGAAATGACAAGCGGTATTATACTCTATTTTAGCTTATTTTCAAATTGACTAATAATTTCATATTTTATCTTTATAACTTTTTTTAATATAAAGAATCGGATCAAACCGAATCGAAATCGGTTGGTTCGATTTTGGTTTGCCGATTTCGATTCGATTTTATAGTTGGATTTGGAAATGGTTTCGTTTCTATGATTTTCATTAATACTCAGTTCGATTCGATTCCCTTCAAAATCAAACTGATCCGAACCACACCCCCTCTTACACAAAATACAAAGGCCAAAAGCATGAAAAGAAATTAAGCCTATGTTTGACCTCATTTTTTCAAAACTTATTTTTAATCACACATTTTTTTAATAAAATAATTTTTCACACATACAAATTTTTTCTCTTTTAAACCTACATTATTCAAAGCTAAAAAAAATGTGAAAGCATTAGATGCTTGGCGTCTTCAATGGGCCTGGTGGTTGAAAATTAAAACCTGCTACTGTACGAAACAACAGCCAATGAACACACGCCACGTTGCCAATTCAACAACCCCACGGCATGATAAATTCAAGCAAAGATGTATGACTTTTACTTCTCATTATTAAATTCTTATTTGGCATTCCCCTCACTGACCATTTCAATTCAAATTGCACTAATTAGAAAGTGGACCCCACCCTAGCTCATTGACTATTTTGCCCTTGTCTAGATTTCGTATACAGATAATACTCTTAATTAACACGTAAAAGTAAAGGACAGAAAAGGAAATAACCATTGGTCAAACCTCAAAAAGCATTATAACAGATTACTAAAGTCATAAAGCAGATCACATTAACAAAAAAACAAAGGGAGAAAATAGTCAACCAAACCGGCCGATGACTGACGGTGACACCTCTGCACCACCGCGAGGTGGGCGGACTTGATTAAAACCCCCCACTCCTATTTCAGACCAGATCTTTCTTCATTACTACATACAGAAAAAAATAGAAAAAGAAAAGTCAAGAGATAACTGGTTACTCCGTGTTTCGTGTCCACATTCTCATTTTATTAATTCGGAATTGAGTTGAATTCAATTAAATTAAATCCAATCCTCCACCAAAGTTGATTGCCACCAGATTTGTTACGCGGTTTTATTAACAATTACAACTTGCAAATTGTACGCTCTCATCTTATCTCACTTTCCCAAATTTCTGAACAAATCTGTTTCGATTGGTAGGCACTTTAGTTTATCAAATTCAAGATTTATTATCTGATTATTAATATGTTTATTTATTTATTTTTTCCCATTTTTAGTTTCAATTGATCGAGTAAAAGTACAAGTCGTTAGTGTCCGTGTTATACTGATTGTTTTCTTTTGGTCATCGGTAAATCGTAATATTGAAACTGAATTTTGGTTCTTTTTAGTTTGTGAAAAAAAAAAAACCAGATTATTACAGTCCACTTCTACAGTCCACTCCACTCTCCAGACTCCAGTCCATTCGCACAACGCTCTCGGCTCTGCAGTCGATTTTAGAATCAGTATCAGTTTTCCCTTCCCCCAAATCCAATCCTTCTTAGCGCCAGTGTGCCGTCGTGCGTGAGCGACGAGTGTGAACAGTGAACCTGAAGTCCCCACTATCGCAAATGCCAACTAGTACGATTGTGAATTTGTGATATCATTATCATTTCAATTTCAATTTTCAAGTATGACGTTAAATTGGGGCAGGTTTATTGTTTATGTTTAATTATTGGTTTTTTTTTTTTTCCTTTTTTTTTGAATTTTTTTTTTTTTTTTTTTTATGTTCCGTTAGATTATTGAAATGACAAGCGGTATTATACTCTATTTTAGCTTATTTTCAAATTGACTAATAATTTCATATTTAATCTTTATAACTTTTTTTAATATAAAGAATCGGATCAAACCGAATCGAAATCGGTTGGTTCGATTTTGGTTTGCCGATTTCGATTCGATTTTATAGTTGGATTTGGAAATGGTTTCGTTTCTATAATTTTCATTAATACACAGTTCGATTCGATTCCCTTCAAAATCAAACTGATCCGAACCACACCCCCTCTTACACAAAATACAAAGGCCAAAAGCATGAAAAGAAATTAAGCCTATGTCTGACCTCATTTTTTCAAAACTTATTTTTAATCACACATTTTTTTAATAAAATAATTTTGCACACATACAAATTTTTTCTCTTTTAAACCTACATTATTCAAAGCTAAAAAAAATGTGAAAGCATTAGATGCTTGGCGTCTTCAATGGGCCTGGTGGTTGAAAATTAAAACCTGCTACTGTACGAAACAACAGCCAATGAACACACGCCACGTTGCCAATTCAACAACCCCACGGCATGATAAATTCAAGCAAAGATGTATGACTTTTACTTCTCATTATTAAATTCTTATTTGGCATTCCCCTCACTGACCATTTCAATTCAAATTGCACTAATTTGAAAGTGGACCCCACCCTAGCTCATTGACTATTTTGCCCTTGTCTAGATTTCGTATACAGATAATACTCTTAATTAACACGTAAAAGTAAAGGACAGAAAAGGAAATAACCATTGGTCAAACCTCAAAAAGCATTATAACAGATTACTAAAGTCATAAAGCAGATCACATTAACAAAAAAACAAAGGGAGAAAATAGTCAACCAAACCGGCCGATGACTGACGGTGACACCTCTGCACCACCGCGAGGTGGGCGGACTTGATTAAAACCCCCCACTCCTATTTCAGACCAGATCTTTCTTCATTACTACATACAGAAAAAAATAGAAAAAGAAAAGTCAAGAGATAACTGGTTACTCCGTGTTTCGTGTCCACATTCTCATTTTATTAATTCGGAATTGAGTTGAATTCAATTAAATTAAATCCAATCCTCCACCAAAGTTGATTGCCACCAGATTTGTTACGCGGTTTTATTAACAATTACAACTTGCAAATTGTACGCTCTCATCTTATCTCACTTTCCCAAATTTCTGAACAAATCTGTTTCGATTGGTAGGCACTTTAGTTTATCAAATTCAAGATTTATTATCTGATTATTAATATGTTTATTTATTTATTTTTTCCCATTTTTAGTTTCAATTGATCGAGTAAAAGTACAAGTCGTTAGTGTCCGTGTTATACTGATTGTTTTCTTTTGGTCATCGGTAAATCGTAATATTGAAACTGAATTTTGGTTCTTTTTAGTTTGTGAATAGTTGTGAGAACTTGGATATATACAATGGGAGGAGTTTGTTCTGGAGGGACGGTTAAGAAGAAGACGAATAATAAATCATTGGAGGTTGAGCAGGAGAAGGCTTCTGGGTTTTCAGGAAAGCTCAAGCCAATGGGGAGTTTCGGAAAGAAGAAAAATGATGATTCTTACGCATACCCTGATGAAATGGATGGTTTTGAGAAGGGGCAGCCCAATCTATATGACTCCGGTGAGCTGTACTTGTCTATTTCAAGAGAATTGAAGCCATCAACCCCAGCTAGAACACCAGCAAACAAGGTATCTATAAACTGTATACAAAGATGTGTTTGTGTTCATTTTCCTTTTACATTTTCAGAATTTTTTATGATGCGGTGTTAAAAGTTTGTTTGATTTGATGTGCGGTGGAAATGAGTATTGCAGCTTGCTTCTGAAGAGTTCATATGGGGGATGAGGTGAATTTGTGCCGAGATATGTATTAATCAAATGAATTGTAGAATTTTCTATTGGTTGTGCAGATCGTTGTTTGAAATTGAAATTTTTTAAGAATTAGACTGAAACTAGAAGGATTTGATGTTGGTTTGCACTTGTGGTGCTATATCATGTAAAGGGGAAATTGAAGGTTTCAAAGAGGAAAATCTCTGAAATAGATGCATATCTTATTGGGTTGGTGAAAATTCCGATGGTGTGAACTATGAAATAATTTACATGAATAAATGGAAAAATTGTGACTAAGAATACGGTGCAGCAGTTGGTGAGATTGTCTAGATGGAAAGGAGGAGGAAGAGAAAGGATACGTGGATGCATTATAATTGCTGGTTTGACTAGGGAAAGAGGAAAAATGTATTTCACATGTTGTGTAGTCTATCATTTTGCTGGAAGGGCCTTGGGTGATCCAGACGATGTTTACTTACAATTTATAGTATTTCTGTTTAACATGAAATGCATGAATAGAAATCCAAGAAAATATAATCAGTGAGAAAGATGCTATTTTCATAAACACGATTTGTCCTTTCACTTCATGGTACGTTGAAGTCAGAAACAAAAGTTGTTTATAAACATTACCTAGCTTTATGTTCTGTTGGGAGCAGACCATTTGCAAAAATGTTACCATTTGAATAATTGTTGAGCATTATATTAATTCCCTTCTTTTTCCTGAGAAAGAACCAAGGAGAAAGAACTCTTCTGAAAGATGGCATCTTGATAATATGTTAAGGCAAGTTACTTACTGTGACAGGCACCTCAAGTGAGCTCATTTCTTGGGAAGGCTGGCATAGTGGGCCTAGAGAAGGCAGTGGAAGTTCTAGATACACTAGGCAGCAGCATGACAAATCTGAACCCTGGCGGATTTACAAATGGTGTGGCTTCTAGGGGAAATCGAATATCTATACTGGCATTTGAAGTTGCCAATACCGTTGCCAAAGGTGCAAACTTGTTGCAATCTCTTTCAGACGAAAATATCCAGTTTCTGAAAAAGGAAGTTTTACATTCAGAAGGGATACAACAGTTAGTTTCCACAGACATGAATGAGCTTCTTAGTCTTGCAGCCTCCGACAAAAGGTGCCTTCCCTGTTACTTCATGCTATTGCTTGTTCTTGAAAACATAATCTCTCTCTCTCTCTTCATCTCCTCTTTTTTTCATTTTATATAGTTCTTACTCTATGAATTTGGTTTTCAAGTTGTTTTCTTTTGTTAAATATTACAATGTGTTTCCCCAATATGTAGGGAGGAATTTGATGTATTCTCTCGTGAAGTTATCAGATTTGGAAATCTGTGTAAAGACCCACAGTGGCACAACCTAAATAGATTCTTTTCAAAGTAAGTTGGCCGACATATCATATATTAGGTAACTTATTGCTTTCTTAAGATATTGAAGGATATTCACCGAAATGGTTCCATGTTAGGTTGGATTCAGATCCCGACGTTTATAAACAACTAAGAGAAGAAGCAGAAATGACAATGCTAGAATTATCTACTCTGTCCCAGCATACTTCTGTAAGTTCCATCCTGTAACCTTGGTTTTAATTTGCAGATGCTGCATCCTATACCTTTTACCACTTCATTGCTATCCATTTTATTGCATGCTTTAATATTTGATGGGTAAAATATTTCTTGCTCCTGTAAATCTACTAGCATGTACTGCCAAGTTCTAGACACACGTGATGGGTCTTAAATTCTATTTTTTGGTGTGATTCTTTGTGCAGTAGTATCAGCTTTTGAACTGATTGCTTTGTTAGATAGAGCATTAGCGAGGCACATAATGCATCTGACCTCTGGGAGAGGGAAGGGATGTGTCTTTTCTTTCTTTCCGGGGGGTTGGTGGTTTGGGTCACAAATTTAATTTGTGATATAGTTGAGGATCGAGTATTCCTTTGTGTTGGGTATATCTGTCATATTTCCACTTTATATAGCTTGTTAGCATGCTTGCTGTTGTGCAAGATGGCAATTGTTGTTATTTTGTTGACTACTCGAATGAGGATATTGTCTACCAAAGATATATATATATATATATATTTTTTTTTTTTAATTTTTTAATTTTTTAATTTTTTAATTTTTAATTTTTATTTTTTACATCTAAACTGAATGTAAAGTAATAATCCCGGAAATTGGATCATGGATGATTGACGGCACGAAAACTTTCTTGAATAAAAGAAAGTTGGTGGAAACTCTCAGAAGTCAAAATCACTAACCATTTGCATTAACTATTAAAATATATAGACATCTTTCATTTTTCTATCTAAACAATTGGAAGTCATAATTTTGTCTGTTAATAATGAGAGTTAACCTGTTGTGCTGTCTGCAGGAATTGTATCACGAGTTGCATGTTTTGGACAGATTTGAGCATGATTATCGGCAGAAGCTGGAAGAAGTAGCTTCATTGCACCTCCCTCGAAAAGGTTGCATGTCATGTTTTCCTTATAATGAAATGTTTTTAAACTGAAATTTTTGGTTTTTTTTATATTGGTGGGTGGGGGCACAATGGGGTTCGGGGATGGTGAATGTAATATTTTGTTCTTTTCACAGTTATTAACTTACATCCCTATAATTTAAGTTAGATGAACATTAAAGAATTTGTTAGTCTCGCCAAAGTTGCATTAACAAGGACAAACAACACTATATGACACGGCGAAACTTGATTTTTATCTAAAGTAGGACATGAACACGGACCAGTCAGGGACATTTTGGTGTGAATTCTTTAAAATGAAAATTTATATATTATATCTTTATTTTTATAGTATTCAATAAAGGAAAAAGCATGTGGCATATTGAAATTTTCCCTAGGAACATCCTAAAGTTAATCTATTCTGCAAGTTGGTTGTAAGCAAGTCTATCACATTTATTGAAACACAGTTTGCACATGAGTGAGGCACTCACATTTATAACTACTTATGACTTTTGTGTGTTTGTAGGTTTCAACTTCGCAAGGTATATTATCTTAATTGACAAATCAATCTTTTGTAATTGTAGGAGAGACTCTTACGATGTTGCAAAGTGAGGTAAAACATCAAAGAAAACTCGTAAGGAGCTTGAAAAAGAAATCTCTATGGTCTAAAAGTTTGGAGGAGGTACTCATTAGCATTGCTCTCTTACAATCGAATTATTATTATTTTTCGCATACTGATCATACTTGTATTATTTAGCAACTATTGTAAAACCACTTAGATGATAACAATTATGACCATTACAATATCTTGTGGTGATGTCCCTCAGCACTCAAAATTGGTTTGTTATTTTACCTATGTAGGTGGTGGAGAAGCTTGTTGATGTAGTTACTTTCATTCATCAAGTTATTTCAGAAGCATTTGGAGATAATGGTATGACTATTTATACAATATTGTTGCTCTCTACTCTCTCTCTATCCTTTCTTTTTTCACATGGGAAGGTGGAATATAATATAGATGGAAATTATCTGCATGAGATTTTAGTACGGATATATGACATTGTGAAATTAAAATTGAATAATGTAAGGTAATTGGAAAGCATGAATGACCAATTTTACATTAAATGATGCATCTACTTCTAGCTGCTATTTCATAAACAGCAAAGCTCCGATTACTGTATCTATCACTGTTGTAATTAAGACTTCCAAGAAGTACTTAGTTCACGAAACATTTTTCCTTTTTCGCACTGTTGTCCTGCTAGATACAATCTCTTGGAAGAAAAATAAATATTGTTTGTAGATTTTACTCTTGCAGTGCATGCCATCATTTTCTTTTGAACAACCATTAAAAATATTTACTATCTGGTAATTTATGTACATCGTTTTCCAGAAGTCCTCCCTTCTACCCTCTGTGCATGGGATTATATTCAAATCCACAATGCAAATCCTTTTTGGTAGCTGAAAAAAATCTTAACTTTGAATATAAATGGCTGTCATTAAATAATAAGGTAATGCAATGTCTTGGCATACTACAAGCATATGAAGTTCCTCTGCAGCGACAGATTTGCTCCAAAATTGAGCATGCAGCTACTGTGACATCTTATTGGCCATGAAATGTGATATGGTTCTCGTTAGCTTAAAATTAGTAATAATTCTTATATATCCTGTATTTTTTATGATTATATCTTATTTCTGTAATTTTTTATTTTGTTTGTGGTTCAGAAATGCATTTTTCTTACTCCCATTTTGTCCATTAATGTCAGGGACGTCAGCTGGAAAGATGTCCCCAAACAATCCAGAAAGGCTAGGTGTTGCTGGTCTTGCTTTACACTATGCTAACATAATTACTCAAATTGACAATATTGTAAGTTTTACCACTTCCTTTATTTATTTAGTAATGTTATACTCGTTTTTGCAAACTTTCACAGTGTTTATCTTCGTGGAATTTAATGTTATTTTAGGCATCACGCCCCACCTCTCTTCCCCCTACTATGAGAGATACATTATATAATGGGTTGCCATCAACTGTCAAAGCTGCTCTTCGCTCCCAGTTGCAGAAACTTGATACCGAAGAAGAGGTACATTCTCAGGCCCTTTTTCATAGTGTTATTCTTAAGTTATCCTGTGGTGTTTTTCTTTTCTTCCTTTATTCTTCTGGGTTGGAGGGGTAGTGTTGTTCCCTATATTCTTCTGCACGTATATTATATACTTATCTTGTATTGTATCTGTTTTTTGCTTCTTGTGCCTTGTGTTTCATAACGTCTCTGGATTTAGCTGGTTGATTATGCCTTTTGCAGCTCACAGTTCGTCAAATCAAAGCCGAGATGGAAAAAACTCTCCAATGGCTTGTTCCAGTGGCGACGGATACTACCAAGTATGTAACATTGATACAAATATCCTCTCTCTTAATATGAAAACTGCACACACTGTTTTTAAGATGCTAAACTCTATTAGCTTTTGTCATTTTTCAGTACCTTCTTTTTACCGTTTCATTTTTGTCTAAATCTTGTGAGGCTTTATATGCTGATGTGGTAACCCTTGTCATTTTTCTTATGTTGGCAACTAAAAACAGAGCACATCAAGGGTTTGGATGGGTTGGAGAGTGGGCCAACGCTGGGTCAGTCTCTCTCTCTCTCTCTCCCCCCCCCCCCCCCCCCCCCCCCCCCCCCCCCCCCCCCCCCCCCCTTCTTCTTTTCATGTTTAAGCACAATCTTAGGCACCCACAAATTTAATTTCTGCAGAACTCATCTGCATAATGTCATAATCCAGGTACTTATTGTTGTTTGCTCTTTCTGGCAGTAACGAGTTCGGGAAGAAAACGAGCACGCAAAATAACCTGATTCGCTTGCAAACGCTCTATCATGCTGACAAAAAGAAGGCCGACTCCTACATCCTTGACCTAGTGACTTGGCTTCACCATCTCATCAGCCTTGTAAGATATAGAGATAACGGATTTAAGGCTCTCCCATCACGATCTCCATCTCATAAGGGATCGAGTGTAAATGCAAAAACATTTAGCAATGACGGTAATAGTCACAGAGTCCAACTTTCTCCAGAGGATAGAAATTTGTTGGAAGAGGTCATGAAAAGAAGGAAGTTGGTCCCGGGACTAAGCAAAAGCCAGGAATTCTTGACTGTGAAGAAGACGAAGAATAAACTATGCAAAAGTAGGAGCACTGGGAGCTCTCCCTGGAGAGGATTGGAACCCCCGAAGGCTAATGTTCTGGACATATTAGATGGGTTAGATACAACATTTATAGCTCCTAGAGATCTTAGATAAATCATTCATGATTCATTCTTTTATTTAATTAAATTATGACTCTGTGTGTGTGTGTGTGTCTGTGTGTCTATATGAATCTCGAGGTATTATGTATATAGCCTTATCGATAATGACATATTTTAGCACGATACTCAGACGTGGAAATTTTGTACTTTGATCAACCCGAAGAAAATATTGTTACGTTTGAGGGTAGGGATTCACTCATTTGGCATCTGCATTTGTGAACGGCAACTAGCTTGTAGTGCTTTGGCAAAATTTATAAATAATTTTTAAATTGTCGACTTCATTTTTAATTACATAAATCAATGAATCTACAAGTGTTATTTACTTATTCGTTACTTATTTCTATTTATCTATAAATTAAAAACTTCATAATTCCTTTGCAAATTCGATATAATATTAGAAATATTCCAGATGTAGAGACATCCGAAGTCAATAGATCAAGATTGAGTAGCTATAGCAGTAGGGTTGGTGGGAGGTGGTGACACGACCAATCTTGAAAGATCACTCTCTCGCCCAAGGATGTTTAACCACAGCACTGAATACATCTATGCATGTGCAATAATGCAATATGATAAAGGGCAACATGTCATTGGGACGAGTTTGAAGCCGATGTAATTAGAAGTGTAATATCTTTCTATCATCCCAAGGCCTTGTTCTATTTCTCCGTCCATTTAGAGATTGAAACCGCAATCTGGGTACCACCCATTTTTAGTAGCAATTGCCCCGTCGCCTATAGATCTCCTTCAAAACCCACATTAGTTTGAGCAAGAGCTAAAGTAGCTCCTAATAATATTGTTATTATTTCTATGAACGGGATTAAATTCATTGTACAAGGTATATATGATATAATAACAATTTATGAATCCATATTAATTAATAAAAAATAATTTATCAAGATATTCTTTATTTTCAAATATTGAATTTTGTGTATCAGAATATTATCAAATTACAAATTATCAATATTCTATATATTTATTTAACCAAAATAAGTTAGAGATGAGATCCAAAGAGACATCAATTTCAAGAGGAAGGAAGTAATATTGAAGTCTTATTTTATAGATGTCTCCCAGTTGAGTTATGTATTTATATAATTTTTAAGTGTGAGGAAATTATTTACATATATATCAAGTGGCATCAAAATTATACTGTACATCACTAGCCTCAAATGCAAAGAAGCCAAAAAATTTTGTTGAATATGTCCGCTTTAACATTCATCACTTGGAATATTTATTAATTTTTTCATTCATTAATTAACACTATACATATTTTACTTTGAACGGAAAAAATAAAATAACTTAATTTTAATTTCAGATTTTAAGAAGCAAATCTGCTCCAAAAAAAAAAATTAATAATAAAAATAAAAGTAAAGAAACTAAAAATTCAAACATATAAGTATTAACATCCGAAATACAAAAATAAAACTTGTGATTTTAAAGCTATATACTATGTTAAACATGAGGTTCCTTCAGGAGTAGAGATCAGATCAATTATAATGGGAGTGCCCAATTGTCGTAACCAGGCTTGGGGCAGACACCCCTCTCGCATATTTAGTGCAAGCATTGACCACTCATCACATCCCCATAAAACTTGCCTGAAGGATCATGTTTGCTCTTAGTCCCAAATGCGGCATCTTATTCTACCAATCTCAACACGCAGCTTTTTCTACTTGCCGATGTGGCATTCCTGAAGATATCCGCCGGGCCCACTAATAACCGTATTTTAGCCAATCCTTCTTGTTTCCTTTTGCCGGATTTGTTTATCGAATCCCTTGTATAGAATGACCTTTGTGTTGCTTATCAATCAATTATTTGATTCAGCCCCTTTTTGAAGAATTGGTCATGTTTTAGAACCCAGTCCTCTTATTTATGGACGAATAGGAATTTCGTATTAGTGACAGTTAAATATTATTCGAGTATATGAAGATATGTTGCTATATTTATCAGATGAAAAAACTAAATTGAACCAAAAATTATGTGGATAAATGCATATATAGCTATTGATAGATGGAATTGGAAGGTGCCCAAGAGCAGCAAAATTGTTTAGTTGTTCAAAGAATCAACTTTAGAGACGGTCAAGAGAGTAAAAACTCCCTAATCTACAAAACTTGAATGTTTTAGATTCTGAAATCTGATAATTTTGGAACCATATTTAGTAAATTTGAACTGCCCTTCCACATTTTATGATGTTTTCCGATAAAGGTGCTTCATCCCTGGGAGAAATTTTGGATGGATCTTGCTCCACCCCCTTCACTCTTATATGCAGCTCTTGCCCAAGCTACCATTTTTCTGCATCCTGTGATCTTAGATTCCACATTCCTTGATCGTCCAACTCTATCAGTATCACGGTCCAAGACGATGGATATGCCTAATCGATTGCCATGGGAAAACAATGGGTTTAAGAAATTCATTCACTCGAGTCTTAATATAGTTTAAATATGTCACGACAAACCTGAACTGTGGGGCGATAAGTTGCATCCACCATGTTGTATGTGTTCATCTTCCTCATTCCATGTTCCGAAGTCCATGCTGCAAGTTTACAACCAGTTGATTGTTTATTTGTTAAAAGTTGATAAGACATGCTAAGAATAAGGAAGAGAATGTTACCCAAAGAGATGAAAAAGTTGTAGCCATCGGAATGCCATGGTTTTAAGGAAAGGGAAAATTTTTGGAAAACACGTGGACATAATCGTGGTATTTAGTATCAATAACCGAGATGCTTAGGCCAGGGAGACCATCCAATGGTGCATCAGGTATGATCCCTGGCTTGAACACATTAGGTAGCTGAAAATAGTCAGCAAGCTTCAATGG